TTTTTAAAAATAATTATATATATATATATATATATATATATATATATATATATATATATATGTATTGGGCACCTCGACGTGGTGTAAAGGTTAGACAGCTTCTCTTGCTAGATCAAGTACAATGAATCATTCACACAAAAGTAAATGAGTGAAGTTAATATTCAAGGAAGACCTAACACAGGAGGAGGGGGTAATTTTTTTTGCTGTAAAAAATACATATGCTCTGTTATAATAAATACATCGAGCTCTCTGTGGATCAGTTTTAATAACTAATATTACTAGGATCCACCCAGATTATAATTCAATAGTTCGATTACCTGTAATATATATATATATATATATATATATATATATATATATATATATATATATATATATATATATATATATATATACTTATACTTCAAAATGGACAAAGTTCGACAGTTATTTAAAGACATTAGTTCATACACAGCTAAAATCATATCAAAATACAGACATAAAGAATACGCAAACACCCCTGTCTAGTAGAAATGAATTAATCTGTAACCTTGGAAACGTGAATTATGATTTTAGCTGTGTCTTTAAAACCCAGTAATTTTAAAAGTTACCTCAAAAATTCGCTTGAGGATGAAATTGAACTAATGTCTTTAATCTGATTACAAAATTAAATTCGGACCTTCCATTTTTTGAAACATGGTTAAAACTGTGTAGCGGAAAAAAACATATTTTAAATAAATTAATTTATAATATTAATGCTCTGTAAATTTACATTGAGCACTATTTTGTAAAAATAAAAATATCTATAAGAACACCGGCACCGGATTATATATCTTACTGTTCTTTCTTTATATATATATATATATATATATATATATATATATATATTAAAAAAGAAGAGAGGTGCCAAAACGTTTTTTGGTTGTAATGTGGATTTATTTAAAAAATATTATGCTTTGTTTTACATAATTTTACTACGAGACACGTGTTTCTGGTCTCGCGACCGTCTTCAGGTAAAAGTGGAGATTTCTACATATTATTAAAAATAATTAATTTAGAAAGAAAATTCGGATTGCCAACACACAAACAGAGAATGTCTCATATCGAGAACATTTCACATTGAACATGAAGAAAAATTAATTATTTTGAATAATATGTAGAAATCTCCACTTTTACCTGAAGACGGTCGCGAGACCAGAAACACGTGTCTCGTAGTAAAATTATGTAAAACAAAGCATAATATTTTTTCTAAATAAATCCACATTACAACCAAAAACGTTTGCGGCACCTCTCTTCTTTTTAATATACATACTTTTCTCTCGTTGTAACCACTACAACATATTTCTTTATATATATATATATATATATATATATATATATATATATATATATATATATAATTCCAGGATCATTTTCTATCTTATTCAAGATAATCGTAGCCCTCTCTAACATTCTAACTTTCTATCACTTAACGGATCTTCAGAGTATTACAACCAGTAAGTAATTGAAAACACCATAAGTGAAACCTTGGTAGGTAGGTTCTGGCTCGCTAGGTTTTTAGATTTTGCTCTACTTAATGTAGTGAGCACTTTTACGTCTGTACTTGTCGGTGTTTTTTTTTCTTTTGACTAGGTATTCCAGTGCTGATTGATTATTTTAAACCAAGACGGATGTTTTAGTCTTTTCTTGTTTTACTGAATTTTTTTTTCGGTTTGTTCAAATAAATTTTTATTTACAGATTGTATTATCTGTGTTTCTTTTCACACCGCCTGATAATAGGTATTAATATATATATATATATATATATATATATATATATATATATATATATATATATATATAGTCATCCACAGATAGACTGTTTCGCTGCATCACAGCACATTAGTGTGGTCTGATATCTGATCACTTCAAGCCGGAACCGAAACACAACTGATTTGCCATTAGTTTATCTCTAGACTATCTGCGTCCGGCAGAGAGAAAGGCGAATTTTCGCGTATTTACATTTTCATAAACATGCTAGTGACCTATGGTACTGAATAGAGAGTCTTGCATTATCAGCAGTAATAGTCACTGGTTACAAATTCGCGCTTTTCTCCCTACAGTGCTCGACCGAATTAATTATTTTTGGGAGCTTATATCGTCATCCACAGACAGACTGTTTCGTTGTATCACAGCTCACCAGTATGGCTAGACATCCGATCCCTTCAAGATCAAAATTAAAACCCCATTAGATTGATTATATGAGCACATCATTGTTATACTAAAGAAACGTATACAGAATATGTATGGTAAAATATATAATAAATAATATATGTTAACAATAACAATATAAATTAATTTATATATATATAATATATTTAAAAAAATATATAGTAAATTTCAGTAGAATGTTTGAATTCGCGAAAAAAGGTATAAACTGCATAAAAATCTTATTGAATAAATTTTATTAACTTTAGATTTATTGTACACAAATTTTTGAAAAAATGTTATATATATATATATATATATATATATATATATA